CTCACATGTGTAGGGTCTTGGACTGGCTGCTGACTGAAACATCTATTTTAGTCTTCCACGGCTACTGTAACAAAATAGCATATACTGGGTGGCTTAAACAATAGAAATTTATTTTCTCACAGTCAGAAGGCTGGGAAGTCCAAGCTCAAGGTTGCAGCCAATTCCATTTCTAGTGAGGGCTTTCTTCCTGGCTTGCAGAGAGCTGCCTTCTCACTGTGTCCTTACATGGCAGAGAGAAAGCAAACTCTCTGATGACTCTTTTTAAAAATTATTTTTTATTTCCATAGGTTATTGGGGAACAGGTGGTGTTTGGTTACATGAGTAAATTATTTAGTGGTGATTTGTGAGATTTTGGTGCACCTATTACCCAAGCACTATACACTGCACCCTACTTGTAGTCTTTTATCCCCTGCCCCCTTCCCACCCTTTCCCCTGAGTCCCCAAAGTCCATTGTGTCATTCTTATGCCTTTGCATCCTCACAGCTTAGCTCCGCTTGTGAGTGAGAATATATGATGTTTGGTTTTCCATTCCTGAGCTACTCCACTTAGGATAATAGCCTCCAGTCTCATCCAGATCACTATGAATGCCATTAATTCATTCCTTTTTATAGGTGAGTAGTATTCCATCATATATATATATGACATATAATATACATATATACATATATATACACACACCACAGTTTCTTTATCCATTCGTTGATTGATGGCATTTGGATTTATTCCACGTTTTTGCAATTGTGAATTCTGCTGCTATATACATACATGTGCAAGTATCTTTTTCGTATAGTGACCTCTTTTCCTCTGGGTAGATACCCAGCAGTGGGACTGCTGCATCAAATGGTAGTTCTACTTTTAGTTATTTAAGGAATCTCCACACTGCTTTCCACAGTGGTTGTACTAGTCAGTTGATACATTCCCATTAGCAATGTAGAAGTGTTCCCTGTTCACTGCATCCAAGCCAACATCTACTATGTTTTGATTTTGATTATGGTTATTCTTGCAGGAGTAAGGTGGCATTGCATTGTGCTTTTGATTTGCATTTCTCTGATCATTAGTATGTTGAGCATTTTTTTCATATGTTTGTGGGCCATTTGTATATCTTCTTTTGAGAATTGTCTATTCATGTCCTTAGCCCACTTTTTGATGGGATTGTTTGTTTTTTTTTCTGGTTGATTTGTTTGAGTTCATTGTAGATTCTGGATATTAGTCCTTTGTCAGATGTATAGATTGTGAAGATTTTTCTCCCACTCTGTGAGTTGTCTGTTTACTCTGCTGACTATTCTTTTTGCCATGCAAAAACTCTTTAGTTTAATTAAGTCCCAGAAATTTATCTATCTTTGTTTTTATTGCATTTGTTTTTGGGTTCTTGGTCATGAAATCCTTGCCTAAGCCAATGTCTAGAAGAGTTTTAACAATGTTATCTTCTAGAATTTTTATAGTTTCAGGTCTTAGATTTAAGTCCTTCATCCATCTTAAGTTGATTTTTGTATAAGGTGAGAGATGAGGATCCAGTTTCATTCTCCTACATGTGCCTAGTCAATTATTGCAGTACCATTTGTTGAATAGGGCGTCCTTTCCAAATAAAATACTTAGGAATATACCTAAACAAGGAGGTGAAAGACCTCTACAAGGAAAACTACAAAACACTGTTGAAAGAGATCAGAGATGACACAAACAAATGGAAACATGTCCCATGCTCATGGATTGGTAGAATTAATATTGTGTAAATGACCATACTACCAAAAGCAATCTACAAATTCAACACAATTCCCATAAAAATACCACCATCATTCTTCATAAAATTATAAAAAACAATTCTAAAATTCATATGGAACCAAAAAAAAAAAAAAAAAAAGAGCCCACATAGCCAAAGCAAAACTAAGTAAAAATAAAAAATCTGGAGGCATCACATTACCTGATTTCAAACTATACTATAAGACCATAGTTACCAAAACAGCATGGTACTGGTATGAAAATAGGTTTACAGACCAACGGAACACAATAGAGTACCCAGAAATAAACCCAAATACTTATAGCCAACTGGTTTGATGATTCTTATAAAGAAACTAATCCTATTGGATCAGGACTCTACCTTTATGACCTAGTTTATTCTTAATTAAGTCCAATCTCCAAATACAGTGACATCAGGAATTAGGGCTTCAACAGCAGAATTTTCAGGGGACACAGTTCATTCTATAGCAGTATGTCCTTTCCCACATTTTTTCCTCATTCTTCTGGACCCCTCTCCAGCAAGATATCCTTTAAAAGTTGCAAGATCTTTTCAAGTCTAGACTCAGCTCAGAATTTCACTTACATACATTCTGTTGAATAAAGTGAGTCACAAGGCAGGCCCAAATTCAAGGAGAAGGGGAATAGACTTGACTTGTTGGTGGGAAGAGTGGTTAACTCACACACTCCAAAAGGACACATGGAATGGGAGGGATGGCTGTAGCTATCTTTGGAAACAGTCTGTCTATTTGTCCTTGAACACATTGTTTAACCACCTGATTTTACTTTCTTTGCCTGTAAAATAGGAAATAATACTATCAGCCACTTTGGGATGTTGTAAGTAATAGATTAAGACAGTGTGTTTAGCACCTACTACATTGTAGTAGAAACATAACAGAAACAACAAAAACACATACGGGTTGTGCTCATACTATGTGGCAGCACTATTATAAGCACTTTAAACATATTGCTTTATGTAATCTTTGCAACAGTCCAAAGATACACATTATCTTTGAAATAAGATGAGAAACCCTAGGCACAAAAATGTTAACTTGTACAAGGTTGGTTGCATTGTAACTAGTCTGTCTAAATCTTGAATGTCTTACTATCTGCTTTATCCAAAGGACACTTTTTAGTTTTTTCTCCTTAAACTATATTTGAGAGTTTACAGTTGATGTTGTTGATCACTCCTCTACCAAACACTCCTCCTCCCATGACCACTATGACTCCCCTCTGTACAATCTTTCCTCCTTCTGTGATTGCTACCTTCCAAACTGCTCTTTCATTTCTTCAACTCTTCTTTCTTGAAGGAACCATCCCATGTAGCAACTCAATTTCTACCTTTCCAATGATGATTGCCAGTCTTCCCTCTCTCCTAAACTCTAGGCTTGCATTTCTAAGTGTTATTAGGGTGTGGATATATATGACCCATGTAACGTTTTGAAACATTTGTGCATTGTGCATTTCGCTTCTTTCTTATTCCATTGGTTACAATCTTGTCACTTAACACTTGAAATGTTTTTCAAATTTGGATGTTTCTAGCAATCAGCTAATGCCTTTGGCCTGGTTTAAGCCTTCATCATTTCTTGCTTGGTTTATGAAAGTCATTTTTTAACTGAACTTGTTGCTTTCAGTTCCTCACTGACATATGGCATTGGTGTAATATTTTTACGTGCTTCAACACACATACCTTCTCACCATTACTATACGGCTCCTCCACCCCCACCCCCAGCATCACACTATCTCTGGTGTCACCTTCTCTGTTCATGGGCACACCCGCCAGATGCGCAGAACTGAGTCCCTGCTTGGAACTTGGAAAGAGCTGCCTGGGTTTGAACCATGGGCCTATGGGTGTCAGATGCCCAAATGCAGGGTTTGGGTCCAAGATTCGCCAGCAAAGGCAATTCTTTTTCTCCTTCTCTAGGGGTTCCCCCCTTTGAAGAAACAGCATCTGCTCAACCTCCCCTACAGGCTCCCTTAAAGCTGGTTTCTCCTTCCTCTGCTTGTCTCTTTGCAACTCTCTGGAGGCATCTTTACCTTTACAGCTTTGCATTTTCTCTGCTATTCCCATATAAGTTCCCTGAAGCCCTAGTACCATTCACAGCAGGATTTCAAAGCTTGCCTGTTGCGTGAGCATTCTATGGGGTCCCAAATTACCTTTCTGTGCAATATGAATTGTGAGATGCCCGTAGAGACAGCACAACCTCATGGCTAAGAATGATAGTTACCAGTTCTAGAGATCCTACTGTAATTGTTCTAAAGTGGGGGCCTGAACACCAGTATTATAAAAAAGACAAAAGAAAAAGAAGGAAAAAAGTAGAAAGAAAGAAAGAAAGAAAGAAAGAAAGAAAGAAAGAAAGAAAGAAAGAAAGAAAGAGAGAGAAAGAAAGATAGATCAAAACTACCTTCATCATGTGTGAATTTGAGCAAGTAACACCTTTGTCAGTCCCTCGCCCCCAGTTTTTCATTGGTAAAATGAGGATAACAGTTACACAGACCTCGTTGAACTATGTACAGAATTAAATGAGATTATGCACCTAAAAGGCTTGTGGCACAGCGACACGCACACACACACACACAGTACTTCGTGGTTATTTCTAGGCTTTATTGCTTGAAAAGCTGAAAAGATGGGTGGATGAAAGGTGCCCTGAGGTTCCTTCCAACTCTCCAAGATTCTGTGATACTCCTCCTTGGGTGCTGAAGTCACATTGGCAATGTTTGGATTTCCAAACGGTTGCTTAGAAAACTAACCGAGACCTAAGACGCCCAGGTAAGCCTCAGAGTCTTTCCCGGGAGTCGTTTATTTATTTGATCTTAGTTCTGACCTAGAGCCTCCACCTTCTCCAAGTCACCACGGTGGTCGAAAAGGGCCTGTGCTTGGGAAATCCTTCCTTTGTTGGCGAATCTTGGACCCAAACCCTGCATTTGGGCATCTGACACCCATAGGCCCATGGTTCAAACCCAGGCAGCTCTTTCCAAGTTCCAAGCAGGGACTCAGTTCTGCGCATCTGGCGGGTGTGCCCAGATTGCAATCTTCGCACCAGGCATCCAAGAACGTGCTTCGGACACACGCAGGGTGGTGGAAGCGGGTTCTTGGTTTGCATCAGGGCTGAGGGGTGGAGTAGCTCCAGCGCCCGGAGCGCGCACACGCTCACACTCCCCAAGCCAGGGCGCGGCCGCTCTGGGCGCGAGGTCCCAAACCAAGTCTCCCGCTTGGCCAGAAGCCGGGGAGTACCCTAGGTCCCCGTCTGGGGCCGCCGCGAGTCTACCCTGCGGCGCGCACTCCTGACCCGGCCCCGCCCCGCCCCGCGGTGGCCTCGAGTAGCGGGCGGAGCGCAAGCAGAGAGGCGCTCTGGGCTGTGCGGCGCCGCCTCTCCTCGGTGTTGTGGGAGGGACAGAGGGACCCGGCGGGAGACAGAGAAAACCTGACCGACCGGCTGGCGAAGAGCTGCATGCAACCGGTGGGAGGCCGGGCCGGCTGGGTCTGAGGCTCGGGATCGGGCTCGGACCGTTTCCCGGCGGGTCCCTGGCGGTGAGCGCGGACGGCCCGGAAACGGCGGCTCTGAGCTGGCAGGCGGAGGGCTGTCTCCTGCGCCCGCCTGCCCGGCGCGGTCCGAGGATGCGGGGGGGCGATGCCCGGGGCCAGGGACGCGCTCTGTCACCAGGCGCTGCAGCTGCTGGCCGAGCTCTGTGCCCGTGGGGCCCTGGAGCACGACAGCTGCCAGGATTTCATCTACCACCTGCGGGACCGTGCCAGACCCCGGCTCCGCGACCCAGGTGAGTGCCGCCACCGCCGCCTGGAGGGACCCAAGGGCCTTTGGCTGGGACTTGGGGCCGCACCGGGGCCTGAGGCAGAAGAGCGACGCGGACTGGGAGAGGGCGGGGGGCGGCCACCGAGCCAGGAGAGGGATCAAGAACCATCGCACTGTGGCCTGATGCTGTAGCCAGGCGGGGACTCGGGCGGTGGCTACTGCACGGAGGCCGAGTCCGGGTCGGCTGGGGCAGGGTTGGAGGGACCACGCCCGCCACCTGCGCTCCCATCGCCAGGGCTCCTGGGGGCGGCTCCCTAGCTCCGAGCTACGCTTTCCACTTCCTGGGCTATCTGCATTCAGAGCGAGGTGAGGCCAAGGCGGCCTCGGAGCCGTGGGAAGGGGGACGAGGCCGAAGGAAACTCTGGGAAGTTGGGAGTTGGGGACTGCCTCTGACTGGGGCCGAATCCCACTGGGTGCTGCTCATCGTTTCTCCTGAGCGTCTAGTTCCTTTCCTTGGTCTGGGGTGAGAAGGGCGGGACGCGATCCGGCGTTGGGCCAGGGACAGGGAGCTTCTGGTCTTGGGCAGACGGGCCTGAACCCATTCCTGGCGGGTCGCACGGCGTGGAGGTGGCCTGGGCCTGGGCGCTGGGCTCGACCAGCGACTACCGCCGGCCACACTGGGGTCCGTAGGCTCGTTGGTCCTGGCTTGTGCACCTGTAGTTATTCCTAGTGAAAGTTGCAAAGCTCTTAACTTTGGAAAGTTCATTTATTTTGGCATTTGACCAATTAAGGTTGGAGGAGGGAGTTTTAGCGGAGCCATTTGCTTTTCCCGAGGTCCCTGTGTCTCCCAGGTCATCTCATCCACTACTGGCTAGTGGAAAATGCATTCCTTCCAATGTTTGCTTGAGATGTTTCTCACCTGGAGAAATAGTTTTCTCGAATATTCTCCCAACCTAAGTACTTACCAGAAAAGCATATTGTGGTTAGATTGTTAAAAATGGGATGAGAAAATGGCCTTTCTCTTGATATTGCTATGTATAAATATCGGAAATGAGCTATTGCCTTGCAAAGTATCATGGACGAGCTGAAACCAATTTATTATATAAAAATCCATTTATCCAAAAGATAAATTAAAGAATTATTTGATTTATAACGAGTGTCACACTGAGCCAGACTTAAATAGTATCTCCTTGATATATTCAAGATGGGTGTGTGGGGTGAAGTCATCTGCTAAAATTTAAAAGTTTATATCAGGTTTTCCCTACCGGAGGCTTTTTTTCTATTGAAAAAGAAAAAATATTGTTTTCCATTGCCAATGGTTATATTAACTAAGTTTATCGAAGATGTCCTAAGTTGGGGAAGTTCATCCTTAAGCAGCAGAAGCAAGACAATTGTTCTACATGCTTTGCCCAAAGCAAGTGTTAGTATTGAAACATCTCACTTCCTTGCTTATGACCGGACCACGAGTTTTCCTTGTTATCCCACATATGCAGTTGTCTTTGGCTTTACAAGAGAAGATGGATGAGGCCTATCTTTGAATCACGTATTTTTGGCCAGTTTTCTGTCTCTGCTCCTTTTAATCCAGGGGCTGGATCCTGTGTTTTCAGGTTCTCTTCAGCCCCTACACCAGGCAACCCCTGAGAAAGATTCACTAAGAGGACTCCTTACAAGAGTAAATCTGATTCCTTGGCTAAGGAATAGCTACAGATAGGAGTCAACCTTGCTGCTCTGAGTTCCTGATATTAGTGCTCTCTTTTCTTAAACTAGGACACAGGGTTTTGAAGTAGCCCCATGCCCCTCTGGCTCTTTGGTTTGTGTTGGAAAGTAGCCAGCTCATGAGGGAAGGGGTGGGGGTGGGGGGTTCCAGTGCGAGGTGAGAGGAAATGAGGCCAAAGATTACATCCTAAGTGCACCCTCTCCTTCAGGATGCTTTTCCCTTCATTTCCAAATCTCCCTTCATTTCCCTCCTTCCTTGCCTTGTCGACATTAATTCTTACATCAGATGCATTTGTCTTCATCCCTCTGAAGCAAGAGTGACTTTAATCTCTGAACCCTAAAAGCTGAGTAGCTAGAAAAGCTGCACCACACAACACCATGTGAATAATGTCCCTGCTATGATAGTGTGAACCAGAACAACCATGCACAGCAGCCCTGAGACATGGGTTTCTAGAGAGAGTCATCTCTGTAAATGGATGACGTCTTTTTCTGTAAAGGAATCCACCTGAATGCCATGTCCTAGCTTTCTCTGTTATTGTCCATTCACGGCCACCCAGTGATAGCTAGGTTTCCTCAAGCTCAGCTAAGGACTTTGGTTATAAAAGGAGAAAAAAGATATAATTTCCTGTGGAGAGCAAAGTGACCCTGCATCTAGGAAATTTACTTATTTTTTCAGAGGTGTGGAAAGACTAGGGCACAGACCAGTGGGCCTGAGCCATCAGAAAGGTTATTTTTTGTCCAGGTAGTTATAGTGCCCTGTTGGGGGAGTACAGCACCCAGATTTCCCTGACTTGGTGTTCACAGAGGACTTGATGCAATTGTAATTTTAAAAAATAAGCCTAAGTTACAATTGGAATTGAAGTGCCTCGCACAGTCTGTCATCTGTACCAACTTGTGGAAAGTAAAGTGCTGAGTGTGAGCACTTTCGTCCATAGAAAGCAATTAGAATGTGCTGTTGGTTGCTTTTATGGTGTTTTATATGTTACTGATGTGGGACATAAACTGGCAGGCTTCAGAGACTAGCCTTTAAGGCAGAGGGAAGAGCAAGTGCAAACGCCCTGAGGTGGGAGCATTATTGATATGATTCTAGAAATGGTGATTTCAGAGGTGGCTGGAGAGGCATGAAAGAGATGGAGAGTGGTAAGACATATGGTCAAGAGTTAGAGAGGGTGGATCATGCAGAGTCTTGTAAACCATTATAAAGATTTTGGTTTTTACTCTGAATGAGATAGGAAGCCATTAGAAGGTACTGAGTGGAGAAGTGACAACACTTTTACTGCTATGTTGAAGAGCAAAGGTGAAGTCAGAGAAACCTCTTAGGAAGTTATTTCAGAAATCCAGACAGAGGTGACAGTGACTTCAACAGTGATAGTGGCAATGGAGTTGATGAGAAGTAATTGGATTATGAACACAATTTGCAGGTACAGCCACAAGTATTTATTGAAGGAAGAGATGTGAAAGGTGAGAGAAGGGCAACTAAGGAAGCTTCAAAGGGTTTTTGACCTAAAAATTCCATGTACAGGTAGAAGTCTTCAGGAAGAAGGTAAGGGTGAGGAAGGAAATCATGAGGTTTATTTTTTATTTTACTTTAAGTTTTTGTAACACATTAAGTGTGTGATGCCTCTTTAGATAGCCAGGCTGTTTTACAGTTAAGTGACCTGAGGTATGACTATCCTCTTTAATGTCAATTGCTCTATGCTTGTATTTTGTAACTGGAGACTTCGCTGTCAAGAAGATTAATTGGTTGTAGAACAGCATGTATTGTTAGAAGGTTTTCCTTGTAGGGAATTAAAAGGTATCTTAAATTTCTACCCATGGATCTTGATTACACTTTTTTTGGTCAAAAAGCATTAGTCTTATCCCTCTTCTCCATCATACACCTTTAGCTACTAGGAGGTAACCTATCCTAACTTCTCTAGATCCACTCTTTTCAAGGAACAGAAAGGAGGATTGGATCATGTAATGTCTAGGTCTTAAACATGTTTTTATCATTTTCTTTTCTTCTGTAGGGTGCCAACCACGTTTGTGCCAAGCACTTTATGTAGGTCATTTCACTAGTCCTCATAAGTCTTCTAAGCACTCATCTGTGTTCCAGCAGCAGTAGCAGCTTCTGGGAGCTTGTTAGAATCGGAGAATCTCAGTTATGTCCCAGACCCACTGAATATGAATCTGTATATTAACAGGATCTTCAGGTGAGAGTTGTAGGCACATTAAAGTTCAAGAACCATGGCTAAAAGTGATTGATATACATGAGTAAACTGAAGTGCGGAGAAGTAAACTAGCCCAGGGCCATGGAGTCCATTTAAAAGAAGAATTGGGTCTAAGTTAAAGTAGCTTCTTAGGTACTCACATCACATACACTGAAAACTGAGGAGTTATTGCCAATGAACATTTTCTAGGTATCTTTCATAAGAGCCACCCTTAGACCTACTTTCTCTCTTCTGTACTTGTATGATGGATTTAATCCCCCAGTGTAGGTCACATTCTATGTAGTTATAAAGATTCAGCTTAGTATTTTTGATTATGAATTCTGTTATCCAGGATACTGGTTTTCCATTCATGTTCCAACTCCATATTCTGGAGATTTTTTGTGCATGTTCTCTGTGTTTGTACCCAAGGTCTAGCAAAGGTTCAGCAGGTCAGAGTGTGAATCAGAGCCTTAAGACTCGTGATTAGTGACTCTTCTCTCCACGTAAATATTACTCTATTCAAGAAAAACTTTTTCTAGATCACTGGTTTTCAACTTTAGCTGTACATTAGGAATACTTAGGGAGCTGGAACAAACAAACAGAAAAAACAAACAACAACAAAAAAAACTACCAATGATTGGGCTGCACCCTAGATCAGTTTTAAATCACAGTCTCTGGGAAATAGGCCTGGTATCAGTATTTTAAAAGTTCATGTATTGATTCTGATATGCAGCCAAGTAGAGAACAACCTTTGAGACCATTGGGCAAAGAATGCATCCACCTAACCCTTCTCAGCTCAGTTCACATTTGTTTCTTGCAAAGTTAGGAAAGATAGTATCAAATACCAGGAACCTTCACTGTTACCCTGTACAGCTAGCACCCATATCAACTGATTCTTAAATTTCTTTTCACAACATTATCCCAAATTTTTATTTTGAGGATTTGTTGAACATGTCATAAGGCTCTATTATATCCATCCAATCTTAGAGGGGAAAAAACAAACCCATCAAGAAAAATCTTGTCTAAATAGAGTGTCATTAAAAGGTCAGAATATAGAACTTTCACGAATATCACCTTATGTTAAATTATAGTCAAGTCACTTATTAGAAAATGTACATGT